AATGTGTCATATATTGAATTTTAGTGTGGCAAATATGGAAAACGGCAATTCTAAAGTCTATGTGTGAAACAAAAAAAAATTTTTTTTTGAATGAAATTTAATTTTTGGTATTGGTTATTCATATGTTCATGGGACATATTTCTTATCATATTTATTTTCGAAGTTTTTAATTTGAGGAAGGGGAGAGGGGATTAGTATTAGGAAATTAGTTGATCATATCACACACATATTCGCGTTCCTTATATAAATAAACTTATAATAATATTAATCGCAAATTACCCTAGCCAGGATTCGATCCCAGCGTCTACTAGAAAAAAACTAAGTCCAATTTATACGGGAGAGGGGATAGAATTCTTTACCGCTATTCAAACATTGCTGAGCCAAACGTTAAATTTTGGATTTTAAGCAGTAAGTTCCTGGCTGCTAGAGTATTGGCTGTACTTAATATAGAAAATCTAAAAATTACAGGGTGAGATGCAATAGTTACTTTTTGTATACTAACGTTCATAATTCGTATCTCACACTTTAAATTTTAGTGAACCTGTAAATAAACTTTATTATTTGGCATTTTAATTTGTACATTGCTGAAAAATGATAATTTTTACAGTTTTAAATAGAAATTAATGACTTTTAAAGAGATAAAATTTCCTGCATAAAAAGCAATAATATTTTTACCTTTTATGATGTTAGATTTACATTTCCAAACTGTAAAATTAGCTTCTTGCATGACAACAATTTTGTTACTATATAAAATACAAAAATTACAGTTCGAACTTTAATTTTTCCTATTTTGATAACGACGGGCTTGATTTTACATTTTATACTGTAATTATTCTTGTTTCCTTTTTTCCGTGTAATTTCTCCAAAATTTTCAGTCTGATCAATTTGTGTTTAATAGTAAATCATAGGATTCGAAAAACTGCGTCGAATGCTACCAAACGCGTGAAAATCGGTTCATTCATTCAAAAGTTATTACCGCTTGAAAATTCAAAAAAATTCAAAAAATAGTGTTTTATTAAACTTCCAGCAGACTTTTGAGTTCGGAGAGCTCAAAATGACACGAAAATTATATTTTTAAGCTCGAAGAGCGCAAAAAAGTAATAAGTGCAATTATAAGCGCTTAGATATGGAATTAACGGAAAGTTGCAGAGATGGCCTTTAGGGTCAACCGTTTTCCTAATTTTTTTGTATTCTACTTTAATACTGAATAACTTTTGAAAAAGTCAATTTATTGAGAAATGTTAGGAGATCTTTTTTGAAGCCCTTTCTAATGATTTTGTTTTTAATGAGTAACAGAATTTCGGTTTTTAAATAAAACGTCAAAATAGTTCAATATTCGAAGCCTCTTTACATGGAAACGGCTTATCTGACGAAAGTTTTCAATCAGACCCTCTTTATAGAGCATTCAATTTTCTTTAAAAATGTAAGTTGTTTGAATTTTTTTTTCCACAATAAATTTTTTGTTGTCACCCCGAATAACTTTTTATTGTTATATCTTTCGGAAAAAAGTTAATTTTTTTGGCTGTCTATTGTATATATGAGCGTTAACGTAAATAATTTGGCTGTAACATTAGCGCTTAAGGCATGCACATTTGTATTTACCAAACTTTTTTGCGAACCCCTCTAAAACATATATTTTCATTGTGCTAAAAAATAGTGTTTTTAATATATTTTTGAGTTTTTGTGCTCTTATAAACACACATACACATCAGTGGGGTATTGTATAAATAGTCCGAATAGCTTTTCAGAAGCTCACAACAACAATCTTAAGATTTAATAAAAAATTGATTTTCGAAAATCGAATTGAAATCAATGCTTCCTCAATTTTTATCTGATTTTTATTTGTTTTTTAGCAAGAGCTTGAAAAATTTTCAATCACCTTTTATTCTCAATCGAAAATTATCAATAAAAAACTTTAGGGGTATCTATATGATTGATACAATTATTTTAGATGAAGATGAGATAAATTTTTGGAGGGGCAAGATCAGTGTAATGAATAAAAAAAACTCAAAACTAAGCAGCAAGCAGAAATGAAGTATGTTAGCATCCAGGAGGACAGATGCTTCCATTCCAGTAACTCACATTTTTTCGCACTGATTGGAGATTGTTTTGTTTCGACAGGTTAAACAAACATTGCAACTTGATTTGTGATTGCGAATAGTAGATAAAAGTATTTTTCATATTGAAAATAATTTAAAAATATTACATTACCCGTATGTTTTACAAAAGCATTTGTTTTTGAAAATCGACAAATTGCTGAATTTTGTTTTCACACTGTAATAGCTCTTGGCGATTTTAAGAGTCATAAGAGCATTTAATTTTTTGTTTTATAATAAATTTCATTAATTTGAAATTCGCTGATTGATAAATTTGATTATGTTTTAGTACTAACGGTCATATGGATAGTTATTAATAAATCCTTTGATAAATTGATAGAAGCGAAAATTTTTTCAGAGTCCAAATACTATACACTGTAAAAAAAAAAACCGGTGTAAGTCCGGTGTTAAAATTACCGGTGTTGAATTTAACACCGAAATCGGTGTTATAATAACACCGATGTAACACCGTTTGCGGTGTAAATATTTTTTTCGGTGTTAAAACGGTGTTATAAATTTTCCGGCGGTATAAATTTGTTTTAATTAACACAATATTTATAATCGAACCGTACATCTTTAATAATTGGAAATAAATAATAAAAAAAATAATAAAAGAGGAAGATATTGATATTTAAAATTTTTTTCACGTAAAAAGCAATTTGAAGCTAAGCATAATTACTTCAAAAACTTAATTTCTCTATACAAAAATTATATCAATGTTCCAAAAATGTTGGCCACTCAGCACCCGAAATTCATTTACTACAAATGGAATGAATTGAACGAAAATGACAATATTTTAAAGCTCGGAAAAGGAAAATTTGAGAAGCTTGGAAATTTATTTGACAATATTCCATATCATGAAGTAAACTCTGATGAAGCTTTAACTCTGAGCTATAGTTTATGCTTCTAAACTATAGTTTATGAAGTATCAGAGTTTGAATTTCACTTTACCTACAAGAAAAATTATTTTATTGCTTCATGTATCGATGACTTAACAGATTTACCAATTTACAGTGAAATCAAAAATATTTTCGTTAATGATAATAATTTAATGTTTTACTGTAAATTATGGGAGACTGTTTGTTATGATGCGAGCTTATGTGCAAATGAAATAATTGAAGAAATGGAAGAAAAATATCAAATAGTCAATATTAGTTTTTCGGATTTGAAATTTCCACTACCTTATGATTATGAAAAACATCAATGTTATGATAAATGTACACAGTAAAAAATTTCGGTGTAAAAGTTGGACTCAGAGACTTTTACACCGTCGAGTAAGTGTGAAAAGTCGGTGTAAAATTTCCTTCGTGTGAAATTTTCACTCGTGTAAATTTAACACGGTGTAATTTACTGTTTTACACTATTCCGTGTTATTATTTATAACTTTGCAAACTTAATATGTGACTGCCGTGACTTGTGAACTATAAATAAATAAAATTTTGCTTTATTAAATAATGACTTTTGTTAAATTGCACTGTACTTTTTTAACTATTGACTTTTTTAAAGATATAAGCTCATCCCGATGTTACACTCATCAAGAGCTTTCATTTGAGTACCCACATGCATTTTTGACATATTTTTCATATATACATATATGTAATATATATATAAATATATAAAATATATGAAAAATTGATGTGGGTACTCAAATGAAAGGTCTCGATAAGTGTAACATCAGGATGAGCTTATATCTTTAAAAATGTCTATAGTTCTCAAGATAAAAGGTAATTTCTTAATTATTGAAATTTTTAAGGATATAAGCTCATCTCGATGTTACACTCATCAAGAGCTTTCATTTAAGAACCCACATGCATTTTGATATATTTTTCATATATTCATATATATAATATATATAAATATATGAAAAAATGATGTGGGTACTTAAATGAAAGGTCTTGATGAGTGTAACAACGGGATGAGCTTTTATATTTAAAAATGTCAATAGTTCACAAGATACAAGGTCATTTCTTAATTATGTATTTAGAAATAGAGCATTTTCGAATACAGCCTAAATACTTATCATCATAAATTGACTATTGGGGAGAATGATATGAAACCATGAAAAAACACAACTCCAGGTCAAAACTTTTTCAACGATACCAAATTTAACCATAAAACTTTTACTTTACTCCGTAAAATAGCATAATATAAAAAAAAATATACTTTAAAATATTTATTTCTACGTGTTTATATTTAAAATCTAATATCGCACAAGCCTGAAACTAAACAATCAAATTATATTAATTAATGAGAAATTTCAGGAAATACATTTACACGTTTGATGGTGTAAAATTTAGAATTCACACCGTTCAAATTTAACATTACACTTACTGTGATTTTCACACCGTCCGTGTTAAAAATTTTCACACCGAATCATTTACACCACACCGAGTCCAAAAAATTTTTTACAGTGTAACTACTATATAGTTTCTAAACATTTATTACTGTAAATATTTAATAACTTGTTGTATTTATTATATTAAGTTAATTTATGTTTTATTTGATTTCAGTCTAATTGTAAAATAAACATTAATTTGTTCAATTTTAATTAATATCTAATATTATTTAGTGTTTCATAAATTCTTTACTGATAATACACCGATACGGAGTTACTGTACACCGCTGTAACACCGATTTAACACCGGTAACACCGATTTAATACCGAATTTTTAACACCGGTGTTAATTGACCGGTGTTGCACAGCGGTATTAAAATGAGTCCATTTTAACACCGCTTTTTTTACAGTGTACTGCTTCGCAAAAAAAAAAAAATAAAACAACGAGTAATAATTTTAACCACATAAATTCATGTATATGAAAACTCCTCGAATAGTGTATTGAAGCCAATGAAAAATAAAAATAACCGATGAAATAGCTTCTGCCTTGGCTTATAGAGGAAAATAGATAGCCATTTGCTAAAAACTTTCCAACAGTTTGTAACTTTTCTATGACGTTATTTTAGAAATTTGAGAAGCCGCCAAATACATAAGTTTTGAGTTAGATTTTATATTAACAATTTATATAAATATCAACAGATGAAAATAATAGTAATTATAGGAAATTTTGTATAAAACTTTGTTGAAGCTTGCTATTTGTTTGAATGTCCACTCGAACACGTAGTGATAGTATCAATGTTCATTTGGAGTTAGAGATAATACACAACTATTGTCTACTTGGATATAAATGCTACCCCGAATGCAGCACGATTTCTGGTTATCTTTCTATTGTTCTCCATATTCATTAAAACGTTTTAAGCAGGTTTACTTTAGATTTTCGACAATATTCTCCTACGAATACGAGTTGGCGAGCGAGTACAAGCGAAATTGTAAGCATCTAAACGATGTCTTTGAAAGAAAAAAAAAAAAAAAATAAAAAAAAAAAAAAAAAAAGGTTTTTCTTGGTTGTGGCGATCTTTAAACTCTGAACGCAGTTGATATCATTACGATAACTTTTGTGGTATCTTTAAATCTCTAGTAGGAATAATGTTAGTTAAAGGTAAAAAAAGTTTTAATACAACGAAATTGGCATCGAATATAATATAAGTAGTTTATGTAAGCTCATTTGTGATGATTTATCTAGCAGTCTAGTGGAGAAGTAAATAAAAGAACCATTGAGTCGATGGCTCTCGATACGTCAAGAGAAACAAGAGGCCCAACATTTGCGTACATTGTATACTTTTCAGGTCGACGCTTCAATTGAAAGCCTTTTGCAGAACTGGGTCACGTCGCTCTCTATTTTCCTTTGTTCTATGTGTCAAGAAAAGACGTAACTAATTTTCATGCTCGTGTGACAACTAGAGGATTGGTGGTTTGGTTACGTCGCGGAGAGGTAAATAGAATAGTCTTTATCCCAAAATAGAATTCGTCAAAGTCACGAAAATTTTACTTTATGATGATGCACTGTGCACTATGACGAATTATACGGATATAATCTATTTGTCTTTTCATCTTCTTTAGTTTAGTTTCATCCTGACGACGTCATGCTTTCAATTTGTCTTGAAGTTAACACATACCAAGGCAAATAGGTTATTTTCTTAGTAAATTTTCTCTCACCAGAGTGTAGAATATGTATTGTTGAGACAAGGACTGCAGAGGGAGAAGAATAAAACTGAGAAGAGTAGAGCAAGGGGTAGATGCACAAGAGGTTACGTTGGGTTATCTCTGTAATTGTGCCAGAAACTCGAGGTGACTCGGCTCTCCACCCTAGCTTTTCCACTTTCAAACCGTATCCGAATGTATATTTCGTTCTCATACTACTTTAGAGAAATCCTCGACCACTTGAAACCGCTTTCGTCCATCCCTATACCTTATACATAGAGTTGAGCGTAAGATAAGGACAATAGCTGCCAAGTGGTGTATTCTCGACAACTATAATTTAACTCTCTACCTAGCACCCTTACAATGAATATACATTCACCTAAGCTTTTCTCTTAATCCGTTTATTTTATCTATCAACTTTTTATTTAATAATTTTATATACAACTGTATTACTTAGTCTTGATAATATATCTCAGTCTAAATCTCACTGGTGCTAAATGCTGAGAAAAAACACCGACAAAGCAAGGTAGGAAGAACTTGAATTGTAAGCTTCAGGCAACGACAGTGCTTGGAAACAAGAGTATCTTATGGTCTTGTCACGTGGGAATTCCTTAGTATGTATAAGCTTCAAGAGAAACATGCAATTAAGAGATTACTTTACTCAATTATTAACAGGATGAAATTTTCGTTAAATTAATTTGAATTAACTTAATTTTAATCATTTCAACTGCAAAACAGTAATAAGTAAATAAATTGTTATAATAAAATATATATTTTTATAAATTTATCAATGAATAATTTTTTTTTTTTTTCGGTTATATATATAGAGCTATGAACCTACGTGCGAAAATCCATTCAAATGAATGGCATTGGTGTTCTGAGTGTTTATGGCGTCAGCCGTTCAGTGATTTGCAAAAGCAATCGACGTCCAATGCGTCGGATCATGCAAATATGCATTCGGCCGAGTTACTTGTCATTGTTCTACGTATATCCGATCGTCACAATCGATATTCTACGTCTGCCAATGCGATTTCATTCTGGATATTCCCACGGAGATTACGCTAATCCAGTTCTATACTCGGGTCTGTCCGGCGTCCTTTTCAAGCAACCTATTTATCGGTTTTACACTTGTATATGCATGTACATCTATATGCATGTGTTCATTTATATATAGTGTCTTTATTTTAATTATTTTTCATTAATTAATACAGTTTTTATCTTAAAATTAATTCTATCTACCTAAAAATAAGACCCCTTGAAACAAATCTTTTGTTTCATTTTAAATCTTTTAAGTGTTTGCCTTGTTCCTTTCTTTAGTTTGTAAATAAAAATGACAGATAATTAAAGGTACAAAATATTTCGCGAATCTTATTATTTAAATAAGAAATGTGATGATGAAAGACTTTGTCAGTATGGTATCAACGTCCGATGAAAAGCTTATATAGAAAGGATGATCCCGGTTAGTTCACGGTAAGTATACGTTCGTATGTGTTGGATAAAAAAGTCTCCTATAATTGTGTTTCCGTTGAGCTAGCAAAAAAGATAAAGTAAAGCCACATCGAGGATGTGAATAACGTCAATATTTCTTTTACTTGGTTCTCCTATTTCATTCAAAAAAGACTTATAAAAGTGGGACTTACAACTGCTCATCCCTTTTCACATTCAATTACATCAGTCAGGTATGAATATATACATATATATTGAGCTGTAGATTTCTCTTACTGATGATTCAATTTACCGTTTATAGAAATAAGATGTTCTAGTGCTTAAAGCCTATTTTTTAGTGATTAAAGTTCCTATTTCTTCCTTGACTGTCAGTTACTTCATTCATACGATGGAAATAAAAAAAAATCTAGCACTGAAACAATAATTTTTAGTGGTTAAAGAAGCAAAAAAAATGAGGAAAAGTTAGGTGTCAAAATTTTAGTTTCTACTACCGTCATCTTGTAGTTTTGCTTTACAAGTTTTATACACTCTCTTCTGCGTCTTGACTCTCCTGTAGAGCAGTGTTGGAACAGCACGTTTCCGAGCTCATCAATGTCACCAGCATGGACTGTTTTATTATAGTTGAACGGGTTCTTCAGATCCCAACAGTCTACTGGAACAGCTTATAAGCTATAGGTTAAAACCATTTTCACACAGCAAATATTTCGCCATTCACGTCGAGTCCAGGCTTACACTCAATCAATCATATTCAAATTTTAACGAGACAGTTCCTTGTTTCCACTTAAACCTGTATCCTTCTAAACTGATACATATCTTTTCAATCCATCTTATACTTAAATTGTTACTTACATAAATAATTTTGTCATTTCACACCATTCAACACACTTGTACATAATAAATGCTTAGCATATCGTATTCGATATTCGAATTTGTTTCATGTATTCCAGAAATAATAAAATCTACAAAAAATTCCTTCTAAAACTCGACAAAATAGACAGTTTTTACGATAATAATAGCAAAATATCTCATCACAAATAACTGATAGATTCATGTACATAAATTCATACCTGTCATGGTATTCGTTGATGAGGGTTCAAACGATAATCAAGTATTCCCGTCGAGATTGGAATTAATAATTACTAGTTATCGTTCCTATCGTATGATGATTTTTCACTTGTCATAATGGAAATCATAAATCTTTAATTATTCAAACAGTTTTTGAAACTCAAATTTTCTAAAATTCAGATTGAATTTCGACGAGGTACACAATTTTTGTGCTAAAAAACTGCATCGAATACTTCAAGCTGCGTCAAAATTAAACAACACGTTTAAAAGATATCGTAATTCAGAAATTTTCAAAAGAGTATTTTCTCTAAATAACTTTCAGATTTTTTTACTCTAAAAACTAAATAACTTGTCGAGAAGTTGATTTGAAGTACTTTGAGGTCGAAGACAATGTGAAGTATTTTCAACTTCCCGCTACGAAAATTAAAAATTTTCGAAAATCGGGAAGGTATTGTTTTTATCCCGTTTTTTGAAAATCGAGTTTTCATTAGATCTCGACGTTTTGAGGTCCTAGAAAGCTTCCCTGACTATTCCCGCGATGGTGTCCGTGCGGCTGTATGTATGTGTGTGTGTATGTATGTAAACCTCTTATAACATTTGAACGGCTCGGCCGATCGGATCGAAATAGGTGGCGTTCTAAAGAGTATCATTGCCATTATATTTCGTGAAATTGTGAATCGATACGGTTCGTTATAGATTTTGAGAAATCTCAAAAATAAAGATTTCAAAAAATGGTTTTTTTGGAATAACTTCTAACCGGCTTTACCGATCGATTCCAAAAACTTATCAGCTCTTAACCTTGAAAAACTACGTCGATTGCCACCGGTTCGATCAAAATCGGTTGATCCGATCGTGAGATATCGTCGAAAAAAATTTTTTTTTCAGAATTTCTATGAAATTTTCAGTCTGACGAGTTCTCGCTCTAAAATTCTTTAAAGAGCTCAAAAAATGCGTTGATTGCCGTAAGCCGCGAGACAATCGGTTGATTCATTCAACAGTTATTGTGGTTTAAAAATTCAAAAAATTGTGTTCTATGAAACTTCTATCAGACTATTGAGCTTGAAGAGCTCAAGGCATAGAACAGCTATCTCTTTGAGCTGGAAGAGCTCAAAAACAACACAAGTGAAATGTTGATCGCTTAGGTATGGAGTTAGCGGGAAGTTGCAGGGATGGCGATTAAACGAGTGAATGGAGTAATTTTTGCGAGTAGTTGATATTTTGGCTTGACAAAAAAAATTATTGATAAAAAATAACTTTTTCAATACTTACCTTTTGTAGTAATTCAATGAAATACAGGAACTGCAGATGTAAATTTGTGTTTGTAAGTCGGTAAAATAAAATCTTGTCAGAATGCAACTGAGAGTCGGTGTTTGGCGGTCGAGTTGTGCAATTTAATAAGAGCTTGTACTCTTTAAAATTATTGCTGATGTTTACTTATCGATGATAAGAAACGATTCATATCTTTAAATTTATGGAAAAGTGAGCAAACGAAAGAAATCGTCGAGTGCCTGAGTCTAGGGAGTTTGTTGATTGTATTAAGGCATCAAGCTTGCCTTAGGAACGGTACGTGCTATTTTCTCAGGAAGTTGCGCGAGACTTGTAATTGATTTACAAGCTTTGCTTCTGAGCACGATAAAGGTCGACGTGAGGACAAGGTGATAGAGTGAAAGATCTAGAGAAAATGAACAAAATTCTTTACCTTCATGTTGTTCAATTTCAGTTGAAAGATTTTGTCTCGATATTAAAACTATAATTACATATGAATATTATCAATCTAAATCTAATATTTAAATCTAATATCTCATTTGAATAATCTTACAAAAGTATTCCGTATAGTAAATTCCAGTATTTTCGTAATTGTGGAAGAGCTGCTTTTAGTGCAAATAGATCTAGTTTTATATTGGAAAAAATAACAAGAATACCTGGAAGTTTTAAGTTGTTGAACTGGGATGAAAAATTTAGTCATTTTTCAAGTTCATTTTAAAATTACTTTTAGAAACCTTTCTTCACCAAGAATATGAGCACTATTCTCGTTCCTTAGTATAAGCCCTCTTTTGACACTAGAACATCTGTATGAAGGAAAACGTTTTCTTTTCTGTAGATAGACAGGGTAGAAAGATATGTAAGTCAAGAGTTATAAATGAGATTATATATATTTCTCGAAAATAAAACCCCACAATTTATTGAAAAAAATGTACACTGAGATATGATTATTACTTAAAGAATATTATAAATTAATCTTTTTTTTAAAAATCCAATTTTGAGAGCTTTCATTTTTTAGGTTTTAATTTTGGTTGAATAGAGAATTTTCGGCTATACTAGAAAAAGAATAATAAGAAAAAAACATAAGCTCACTAGTATTAATAGGTTTTTGTTATATTTTTCTACAGAATCACGCTAGATGGAGATTAATAAAAAAAATTAAACAAAGGCTTAAAAATAATAGAAGTTGAGTTAGTGACGCGACAATTTCAGTTTTGTTTTTATTGTTTTTGATATTGACATTGATATATTAAAAATATTGATGTAATTTACTTTTTCAAAGTCGTTGGTTAATAAATAAATAATAAAATCTCATTTTGCGTTCAATAAAATTATCGACCATTCCTAATTAATTTTTTTTTAATTTATCGATTGCAATTTTGTTTGATATTTGATTCGCAGTATATTATCCACTTCAATGTTCGGCACTAGAAACTCGAA